AAACTCCAAGGAGACTAGTCGCTAAGGAGAGGAAGCTGGGCGTTGCTATGTGGTGGACAGTTGGACACTTAGCATATCAGCCTTTTATATGTAAGGAGAAAAGCATGACTTCCCTACCATTGCAATAGTAAAAACAAAGACCTTTTCCCCCCATAAATTAAACAATTTGGTGGATATTGGGGGTGAGACAACTTGGAAGACACCAAAATATGTTAAAAGTTGTGGTTGAGTGAGGTACCAGAAATTTTGCTCCCTTTCAAGACCCCATTCATTATCCGACAACACCACCCCCCCAAAAACTCATGTAAAGATGCAAAATATTTGATAACAAGCAAAATAAATATTACAACTTGCAGAGATAGTCAATGGTCAACGGAGATTTAAAAAAAAAACATTTGAGAAAAGTCTGCAGAGAAAATTAAGTTAATGGAAGAAGATCAAGCAAAAATAAAGATGATTCTTAGGGATACTTTACCAGTGGTTCTCAACCTTCTGGCCCTTTAAATACAATTCCGCATGTTGTGACCCAACCATAAAATTATTTTCGTTGCTACTTCATAACTGTAATGTTACTACTGTTATGAATCGTAATGTAAATATCTGATATGCAGGATGGTCTTAGGCGACTCCTGTGAAAGGGTTGTTCGACTGTCAAAGGGGTTGTGACCCACAGGTTGAGAACCGCTGCTTTAGACACTGCAAGATAAGGAGAATAGTAATGAGGTCAAGAATACTAGACAACCTGGGATAATGCTATAAAGCTAGAGATTCTGAAAGTGTTTGCATGCACTTTTCCAAAGGAGGAAATGGAATTTGAGGTCTGATGATGGCCATATAGCCACGTTCTCTAAGCCTTTGAGTGCTTCTGGCGCAGACTTTTGGCATCACTCTGGGCTCAAGACCATGACTGGTCTGCTCAGCATATTTAAAAAGAGGAAGATAGGATTTGGGTAACTGGACATTATACTGTAATTTTGTTGTTGTTGTTTGCAATTTGCTTTTAGTGGGAAAAACAGATAAATGATATGTGAGGTCCATCCATGTTATAAAAAGATAAAAAATTGCTCAATAGAAACTAAACTATACAAAACCTATAGCAGAGAAGCTTTCTATCAACAGTTAGTGTGAAACATATAAAAATAAGCTATATCAAAACAGTGGTGAGAGTGGAAAGAAAAATTAGAAAATGAAGCCCAGTGAAAGACTTTGATCATGTGAAATCTGGAAGCTATTGAGAAAAGGTAGATTGAAATAGCTCAAGCAGTTTTACAGCGGTAGAATATATCATCCTGGAGGTACTGATATGTTTATTACACCCTATGGAATGTGTTGAAAATCATGGGAAGATGCATAATTTATCTGTAGCTTTGATAATGTAGGATTATTTTTCAGTTTAATGTTTTTTGTTCATGTGGTAAGAAAGGCACACTTGTGATACAGTGTGGCATAGATGCCAAAGATGCTAAACACTTGCTGTGCCCAAGCCAGCCTCTCAAAGGCCTCAAATGTCAGTAATGCCAAGATTGAGAAACCTTGCACTAAAACACAGAATGAAGGAATACAATAGAATATAGCCTTTTCTTTGAGGTTCTCAACTATGATTCTCAAATGAACTGGAGTGAATAACCATGGTTTTGTTTGCTTTTTTATTTAATTTTATATATTATTTTTTTTGCTGACCTACTTTTTTATTATTATTAAATCTTTATGTTCAGATTATTACAGTTGTTCCTTTTTCCCCGCCATTGCTCCCCTCCACCTGGTTCCCGCCCCACCCTCTGCCCTTACCCCCGCCACACACACACACTGTCCTCGTCCATAGGT